GAGGGGGGAGGCAGCGAGTGGCAAGCAAGAATCCAAAAGAAGCAGAAAAAGAAAAAAGGGGGAAAAACAAAAAAGCAACACCTGCAGCCTACAAATGGCACCCAAGGAGCTGCCCGCCCGGGCGCGCGGAATCTAAGCAGCCAGCATACCTGGGTCCAGAGCCTGTGGCCCCGGGAAGTTGAGGAGCAAACGAACAAAGGCCCCGGCTTCTCACCCACGCGGCAGACCAGACCTGGAAGGAGCCGCACACCCGAACCTAGCCCCACAGGAAAGGGCAAAGTCGGCGCTCGGAGCCAGGCACCTGAGCAAAAGGAGGGGGAGGCAGCGAGAGGCAAGCGAGAAACCAAAAGAAGCAGAAAAAGCAACACCAGCATCCAACAAACGGCCCCCAGAGAGCCGCCTGCTCGGGCACGCAGAATCCAAGCAACCGGCGCCCCGCAGCCAAGAGACCTTGGACACGGGAAGCAGGGGAGCCCCAGCCGGGGCTAAGAGGGGAGGGGGTTGGGAAAGCGCACACTGCAAATTACCGGCTGTTTTGTCTCCCTCTGGATGCTCCGTGAGGCTGCTCTCTCATACCCCCGTTTGCTGATCTCCGATAGGAGTCCAAGATGGTGGATCCGCGCTGTGTTAGCTGGTAGGGGACCTCTGCATGAATCTCTCCTCACTCTCTGTTCTCTTTCAGTATTCTTACTCTGTTTGGTGTTCGGCTGAGTTCTTTATCTCTTCATTTGATTTTCTAGGGTTTCAGGATTGTTGATTCTCTGTTTGGCTTAGTTTTTCGGATCTTTGTTGTAGAGGGAGGGCGTGGTGCTTCTGCCTAGACCGCCATCTTGCCGGAGTCCTCCTTTTCTTCTTTTATCAACCAGTTGCAAACATACCTGCATCATCTTCTTTATTTCCTTTCCTCAAAACATTCTTACATGACCTACCTTAATTAACCAACACGGTGAGCTGAGGGATATTAGATTTGCTTTATATAGCCTGGAGCCCTGGTGGCGCAGTGGTGAAGAGCTATGGCTGCTAACCAAAAGGTCTGCAGTTCAAATCCACCAGCTGCTCCTTGGAAACTCAATGGCGTAGTTCTACTCTGTCCTACAAGGTCGCTATGAGTTGGTGTCGACTTGATGGCAGTAGATTTGGTTAAGTTTTTTATATAACCCAGTATCTAATGAAACAAACCCATTGCCGTGGAGTCAATTCCAAAGCATAGCGACCCTACAGGACAGAATAGAATTGCCCCATAGAGTTTCCAGGGAGCACCTGGTATATTCGAACTGCTGATCTTTTGGTTAGCAGCCTAGGACTTAACCACTACACCACCAGGGTTTCAAAACCATTGCCATTTTCTTTTATCTGTGCCTTAATTTGGACGTTACAAATCCATCTTTCCCCTTGATTCATGTTGTTGTACACTGATTATACTTGTCTTCAACAAATTTCTTTCCTGTTACTGCATTTAATTTCTCATGCAACCCTCACCCATTTTCCATATGTCTGCCTTAACTGAAACAGTAAGACACCATAGTTCAGAACTAGGGCGTCAGACCTGGATCCAGATTCTGAGTTGGTTTTTACTAGTTGTATGCTCTTGGGCAAGTTAATATTTTTAAATCTAAATTACTCAAATTTCTTATCTATAAGAGATAACTTTGCAGGGTTATTGTGAGATCTTGGAAATAAAGTGCTTAGGATAGTTCTTGGCACATGGCACTTGGTAAGTGTTGGATAATCACAGGCAGATGACACCTTATCCATAACCCTTGGGGTTAGATGTAGTTTCAGAATTCAGGATTTTGCAGATTTTAAAAGGTATGTATATTTCATATATTACTTAATATCTACACAGGATATAAGGCACTTTTCTTAAACAAATTGATATTCCTGTAGAAAATAACTGTGAATTTTTTTACAGAAATATTAGCCTCCTATTAATTCAGGTCAGATAATGTTGCCAAATGAGTTAGGAAAAAGCTTTTATTTTTCAGAACTTTTTGAAGTTTGTAAATGTAGATAAAGGACACGGAATCTGGAAAATAAGGAGAGAGGTCTACATTTTCATATTGTGGACTAAAAATGATTCTCTCATTTTGACTACCTGGTTTTTTTGTTTTTTTGTTTTGTTTTTTAAAGAGTTTTTCAAATGTGGGACCACAGACTTTTTCTTACTTCAAGTCCCACAACTCACCCCCAGCCATAGATTCCCTCACCAGTTCTCTCTCCAGATTTTTTCTGAAAATTAAGGGAAGAGATGAATAGCACTATTTTAGTAGGAGCATCCTTGTTGGACATGGAACACGCAGGTCACATTGAAATTTTTTTTTCTTTTCCCTAGGATTAGTTAGGTTATGAAATGCATAATTATACGTAGGGAGAAAAAGACACTGATATCATTAGTTCCCATTTCTTCCTTCATGATGATTAAAAGCTGTGTTTTTAAAAACACATTCTAGCAAGATTTGTAGTTAGATATAATATACTAACAATTTTAGATTGTATGTGTATTATTTTATATAAATACTTAGTGTTTTTAGAGAAATGTAAGTTGTCTCATTGACTGGTCAGCATGGCTTTTCTTTCCACTAGAAGATCTGTATAGATTCTAGTCTGTTCCTTCCTATTTTCTATTGATTTTGGGAACTTGCTATGAGAATAGAAATTGTAATTGAATCATAGTCTGGTGATGCGTATGTATTATTCGAAATTGATTCTAGTGTTTATTTCTTTTAGTGTCCTACTGAAACCAAAGCAACGTTTGGAGTCCATCTTAAAATAGTCGGAGACTGGACGGGTATGTAGAAAGTAGATTTTTAAGATACATGTTTTGAAAATAATGGAACATACAATAATTTGCATGTATTTAAGTAGTACAACAACCAGCATGTATAGAAGTATGCATAAGTTTTCAGGTTATTGTTTGTTTTCTTTCTTTGCTCCTGTAGTTTTGATATACATGTTTTCTTCCTGTGGGACACATTTTTGGAATTGTAATATGCTGGGTGTCAGTAGTTATTAATGAGGTACTGTTCACTGTTCTTTCATATCATGTTATTGTTGTTAAGTGCCGTCGAGTCGATTCCGACTCATAGTGACACTTTGTACAACAGAATGAAACAATGCCCCTTCCTGCGCCATCGTCGTGATCATTGTTATGCTTGAGCCCATCGTTGCATCCACTGTGTCAATCCCATCTCGTTGAGGGTCTTCCTCTTTCTTACTGACCCTCTACTTTACCAAGCTTGATGTTCTTCTCCAGGGACTGATCCCTCCTGTTGACTTGCCAGATGCACTGGCAATAGAAGAGCACTGAAATGTGTTTATTAGGTAACATGATCTTTAAATTAGTGGTTGGTTTGACTCTCAAAATAATCGACACCTGGGACTGATATCACTCAAATATTCCAGCTCTTGCATGATCTTCTGTGTGGTATATATGTATCTTTGGAATAGTGGTCACTACTAATAGCAGATCCATTGGTGGTATGTCATTCATCTGTTCCATAAAGTCTTTTGATTATCTGAGAGATATATTGCATTGAATGTTCTGAGGAAATATAAGAAATATTATTCATTTTTATATGTCCCTGACTCATCAGTGTGACTGACAAGTGCCTGCTCGGTAAATGTTAGTTTGTTGGTTTGTTGATTAGGTTTGTGGTTTGAAGGAAAGGATTCAGGTATAAACATGAATGCAAAGGTAAATTGAAGGCTTTTATAATTAAGAGCTAAACCAGGACTTGGTTTGTAAAAACTGTAGAAAGTCAGAAAAACATAGATTCAACATGGTCTAGGGCTGTGAAAGAAACTTCACAGAGAAAAGAGAATTTAAGCTGAACCTTAGAAACTGGGCAAATGAAGATAAAAGTAGGTAATTTACAGTGAAATCGACAGCACTGTGAAAAACCAGGGCAGATATTGATTGAAGCATATTCATGGAGTGTGAGTCAGTCTAGCAGAAGCAAAGATTTTCTTCTGGAGAGTAGTATGGAAAAGTCATTTGGGGTCAGTTTGGGAAGGACTATGAATGCCTTAAAAAGATATGTGGATTAGGAGAACCTATAGAGAAGGATTTGGAGCAACACAATGAAAAAAAAAAAGTATTAAATTGCTAATTGTATGGATTAGAGTCAAGAAGAACTTGTAGGCGCTTGGAGACAGAGGGAAAGGCATCAGCAGAGGAGACTGGGATGGAAGCTGAGACCTGGGAGAAATGGATTTATGAGCAAAGATTGACAGTTTAGCATTGGACAAAAGGAGGAATCAATTTCTGTAATAATCAGGGTAGGATAAGATGTGAGGTAAAAAGCAAGAGATATTTTGGGAAGAGGAGGAGGGTAGTTGAAGGAGCTTGTATCATATAGTAAAATAATAACAGTAATAATAGAGTGTATAAAGTTCTTCGTCTGTAGAGAGGGCAGCCAGCTTGGAATCGGAGATTTGAAGAGAATATGTAACATGGGATTTGGTGGGCAAGCAACTAAATGAATCAAAAGATCTTTAAGAAGTAGTGACCTATTCATAGTCATGGAAAACCAGGCTTAAACAGACATTGTTCCTGTGATGTTATTCAAAATAGATTATAGGAATCAATTGTCAGGAAAACACTTGTTATAGTATGGAAATAGTAATTTTCCTAACTCTGGAACCAGTTGGTATAATCATACTTGTTTTACATGTTTGTGACATTAGGAATGAGTTCCGTTCTTTTCTGGTAAGAATCTTAGTATATTAAGAATTAAGTAATGAATGGTAATTGACAGAATTCTGTATTAATGGAAAATAAGCACAATGAAGACATCATTTCATTCATGAGGGTAAGTAGAAACTTCATGATGGTATATTACTAGCTATTATTACTGAATTTCTTCACCAAGTTATTTTTATATCAGTAGCTCATTAAAATAATTGATTGGCTCACCATTTATTTAATCTGTAATAAGAGAACACTTAATAGTGCTAATTTTATCCTCCTTTTTTATGTACTGTGCCATTGAGGAAGAAACAAGATCATTCTATTCATAGACTTCAGTTTCAGTCAGATGCTTTTCAATTAATAGACCTTCTTGGTTTTTGACTTTTAAATATTTGTTGATTTGGGGGGAAAAAAAGTCAAGCATTCATGCAGAGAACGCCTAAATAATCCTGCCACCATCTGACACTTCAAAAAAAAGGTTTAACTGTCCTAAAAACAATGGAATTATAATCGGGTAAGAAAAGGATCAGGAACACTGGTTTTTATTCTGAAAGAGCTGATTGAAACTCAGCATTAAGAACAGTAGGTATAGGAAATACAATAGAGATTCTTAGGAGGTTGAATATCAGAGGTTTACTTCTCTGAACCGACTTAGAGATATTTTCGAGTGACCTTTTCTTCCCTGAAGTATGTTCTTCATGGGCAGTTAAGGGGGTGTAAAGGACCCATTTTAGACTACCCCACTGTTGATCTTTCCAAGACTAATCAACTCCACTCAACTGTAGAGTACCCAAGACTCAAATGAAGCAACTATAGTACAAGAGGAGGAGACATCAAAGCCTCTTATTTTTTTTGCAGGCATCTAGATGCATCCCCTATGTGTTCTGAAGACTCCTTAAGTTTAGAAGACTCTTAAAACCCCTTAAACACAATTCAGGATGTTTCATTGAAATGTTGATGGTAGAATGGGATGGAGTGGATTGCCTAAGTAGATTCCTCTTTGAATTGAAGTAATATTTTGTTGCCATTCCAAAATCAGTCATCTGATTTCTACTTTCAAACATATGATCACAAATTACCTATTGGCTTGATTATCATTTTATCTATCTAAAAATTTCTTGTTAATTTCTTCATTAGATATGATTACTATTGAATAATGTCTGAAATAATGTCATTCCTTTGGTTATTTTAGTGGTCTAGATAGAAGCTTACTCCAGAGAGGTTGTAAGTGTGATGGGAAGCCATTGAAAGATTTTGAACAGGGTCTGATTTATATTTTCAAAGGTTAACTCTGGCTGCTATGTAGAGAATAAGGTAGAGGTGGGCAAGATTGGACACTGGGAGATAAGTTAAGAGAGAAGCTCTTACTGAAATCTAGACAAGAGAAAATGCTAACTTAGTTTAGGAGGATAGTGATTGAGTTATGAGATGTGGTGGTATTTTGAAGGTATATCTGACAGCTTTTGCTGATTAATTAAATGTGAAGTGTAAGAGAAGTGAAGAATCAAGCAGGTCTCTAAGGTTTTTAGCTTGAGTAAGTAAGTGGACAGAGATGGAGAATACTGGTAAGTTTAGGGGGCAAGAGTGACCATTCAAAGCTCCCTGTCGTACATATTAAATATTTGATACCTCTTAGACTTACAAGAGGTGAAGTTGAATAGGCATTTTCATATATGAATCCAGAGGTGAGGGAGAGGTCTGGGCTAGAGATTTCAAACTGTGAATCATTAGTGTGTTGATGTATTTAAAGCCTTGAAACTGGATGGAATCACCTAGGGCAGTGATTCCTCAACCGTATTCCATCCAACACCCTGTTTTATAACATATGCCAGCTTTACATTATTAAAATGAAATTTACAGATACTATATGCACACACAATTTTTTAAAAATCAATATAATGTCCTAACCTTAGTATAAAGGAGATATAATTTATGATAAATCCCTTATAGTATATTCCCCGCTTCATGAAAATTCATGTTGGGGGGGGGGGCAGGTAAATAAACAAATGCAATACTGCACTTACCAAAATGGAGGATACAGAAGCTTCTTGGAGAGGTACCTGGGAGGCTTCTTTCTAGGTCAAACTGGGTGTTAGGGATAAATAAGATTTTTCCCAGAGTGGGAGATTATTCCAGGATAGAAATAATTTGAAGAATGGCTCAAAAGGGTAAACTACCATGGAATGTCAGGAAAATATCATGCTGTTGGCAGACCAGGCTGGAATAATCTAGAGGTTAGGTCATGAAAAACCTTGTAGGAATTGCTAATAAGCATGGCCCTTTTCCTAAAGATGTTGGGGAAACACTGTAAAGATTTAAACAGGGAGTGAAATCAGATGTTCACTTTATATGGTTCACTGGCAGTACAGGTAGTCACTGACTTACGAATGGGGTTCCATTCCAACGACTTCATCATAAGTCAGTTCTGACATAAGTCGAATACCTCTTTTTTTTAGTTTTCATTGTTATTGCCTTTTATTGTCAGTATCTATAAATCTGATCTTTATTTGTCTTTGGGGGTTGCAAACATTACATATAAACTTACAGATATATTTTAAAACATACATACATACATAAAAAATGCACAAATTAAAGATTTACGATGAGGAAGAGTTGGACAACGTTGGCATTTTGTCAGTTGCAGTAATAACTCCACTTGTAAAGTGTTCTGGACCGTCTAGATTATTCCTGGGAATGGGGATAGTGTTTCTAGTTAGAAAATTAGTGAGAGTTGTCTGTATGCTCCTTTTTTTTTTTATTTGTGTATTTTTAGATAACATCTCTTTAGATAACATCTCACTGCTTCCTGAATCTGCCAGTTGACTTTAGCAAAGTGATCAGTCTTTGGGTTCATATTTTTAAGCAAATGAAGCCCATGATTTAGTTTAGAAAAAAACTTCAGCTAATCCTTTCACTGGAAATCACAACATTGAACATCTGCAAGTGAACATCTGAGAATAACATCAGCAAATTATGCATTACAACATTGTATGTTGTACATATTACTCACGATGAGATGTACAAAAAACAGATGGTCGTAAGTGCAGTTCATCGTAACTCGAGTACATCTTAAGTTGAGGACTACCTGTATACCGAAT